AATGTGCCTACTAATCCTTGTTATCACCATATTGATGCTGCTTATGGTTGCTCCATGTATTATCAACTGTCTAACCAGTTTTGTCTCTGCCCAGGTCAACAAGCTACAACATGTAGCACCAGTTCAACAAGGATATATAGAACTATAGCCAACCAGGGAAAATATCACTCACCCTTAGATGGGCACCACTATAAGGACTCTGAGGCTTGAGACTAGCAAGAGAGGGAGGCCCAATGCCCTCCACCATCCCAGTTCAGCAGGAAGTAGCCACAGAAACCTTGACCTCCCTATTCCCAAAGTACTGGACCTCCTATCTCTTAAGGGGAGAAGGTTAGATAGTTATAACAGGAAAAAGGAGTCCAGAATGGCAGAGGCTAAAAGACAAAGAAGGGAAAAGCCCACGAAAATAGAACAAAGGAAGGTCCAAGGACCTCAGGTGAAACAAACAGCCTTCTTGGCTAGCCCAGTTTACACAGGGCAGGCTCAGGGATGAGGAGATAAACGTATAAAAAGGGAAGACTGAAAGAATTGAGGCCTCTTTTCTCTTGATTTCTGGGTCAGCCCGTCCTCACTCCTCAAGGGTGTACTATCCTTTGTTTTTCCTAATAAAACTGAGATGTAACACTGGTTCATCCTTCGCTTCAAATTTTTGCTGTGGTGAGACAGAACTGAGGAAATTACAAACTCCCCCGACATGTCATATTCATAAATGTATACAGCTTCTTTCATCAAACTTTATTTTCCTCCTATAAAATGATATAAAGCCCAGGCACACGTGCACACACTCACACATATATACAAATACATATCTTCAGAACCAGTTTTCAAAAGAGATGTGTAGCATGGATGCATTTACTCTTGTTTGGAAAGTTACCCTTGGGATGTTCTTCCATAGTGCTGTACTTTAGTTGACTTTCTCCTGCCTTTCTTTGCCCAATGGCTTTCTCCTGCTATTGAAGCTTGTTTTGCTCAGCAGGTAGGGCATGCAGGAGAACAAACGTGTTTCTCTTCCAGTATCTCTCAATCAAAGACTGACTGCTGGAGTCCTTCCATCACCTCCCATAAACTTAAAGGTGAGTAACTCTGAGGTGCATGTCCTACACGAGCTGCCAGAATCTCTCTAATGGAAAGAATTCCAGTCACTCATGATGGCAGTTGGTTTTACTGATTCCTCTTTCATATTTCTATTTCTCCTTACTGACGAGTCCCTCACCTCCAAAATAAACTACTTTCACTCAAACCCTTGTCTCAGGGTCAGCTTCTGTTTCTGGAATGACTCCAACTAAGACATATGCCAAAGATGACTTTTAATTTAATAGGTGTGGGAATATTTGCAATTTAAGCTCAATTCTTAGGTCCAAATTACAAACAATTTTGCTAACAAAGACCTTTTTATTGATATGCTATTTAAGCACTTACAACGTTCTGCACACATAACAGATGAGCTAAAAACTTAGGTACAAAGAATAGCTATGTGTTTGAATTAAAGTTATACCAGTCTACTTAAGATGCTTAATTCACCATTAATTTTGCCAATTCATCTGTGTTTTAATCATTGTGAAGCTCTGCTAGTAATTTGAAAGAAGTTGAGAAAATGCTTGCTATCTATTGAAACTCTGCCAATAGCAGTCCATCAATCTGTTAATCATCTAGCAACTATTCAGCAGGTAGGAAAAGTGCAGTCAAAATATTTTCCTTCATTTCTTTTTTTTTTTTTTCCACTTTTAATAAGATCAGACTATTTAGAGTCTGCTGGTCACCAGATCCATCAAATATCTAGGAAAATGATTCCTTTCATGGCTCAATCAGAGCCTCATCTAAATTTCAGCAGAAATCTATGACTTCAAGCTGCCATCCCTACTTCTGTTTCCATGGGAATAGACTTCAGATGAGGGAAAAGAAAAAATGGATGGGGTTAGGAGCGTTCAAATAATCACTCAAAATCATGATGAGGTTTTCAGAGCTTCTTTCCTAGGTGATTATTCTGTAGCCTCTTAACCCCTTTTTGGCAGACTGTTTCCATGGAAATATGACAAAAATGGCTGTCCAAGTCTCCAGCAGAGATTATTAGCATTCTTGTGAATTTCAGCTTTGGCTGCAGTCTAGACTGAGTAAGATCTTCCTATACCAGTTTTATATATTAACCTACACTGTGTCTACACATTGTCATTTTTACTTTGAAAGTTCCCTTCACAAATTTATACTTATGATCAAGATCAAACTGATTGTGACATCACTAAAAAAGTCTTCAGTTTTAGATATTAATATATGAATCAACTGCAGAGAGTGTAAGAATTTTTAGAGTGCAGAAGGAAGAATATTTAGTTACTGGATTCAACGTCTGTTAGATAGGTGTTGGTAGATATGCAATAAAGATCATTTTTAAAATATTTAGCAATCGGTAAGACACAGCGCTGAAACTAAGCAGGACCCTGTGGGGCTCCTAGGCCTGGGAGCCTTTCTGCTCAGCCTCCACAACCTTGCCTGAGTTCTAAAAGAAAGGTTCAAACAGTTGCTAATCAGAGAAGGGAGAGGATGCAGAGACAAGGGAGGAACAGCCCAGAAAAAATAGTGTAGCCTTGGGGCAGGGCCCTGTTTCCTCTCAAGAGATACACATAACAATATCTTTGAGATCTTTACAGAATTAAGTTCAGTCACTCAGTCCTGTCCAATTCTTTGCAACCCCATGGACTGCAGCACACAAAGCTTCCCTGTCCATCACCAACTCCCAGAGCTTGTTCAAACTCATGTCCATCGAGTCGGTGATGCCATCCAACCATCTCATCCTCTGTTGTCCCCTTCTCCTCCTGCATTCAATCTTTCCCAGCATCAGGGACTTTTCCAATGAATTAGTTGACCAAAGTACTGGAGCTTCAACTTCAGCATCAGTCCTTCCAATGAATATTCAGGACTGATTTCCTTTAGGATTGACTGGTTTGATCTCTTTGTAGTCCAAGGGACTCTCAACAGTCTTCTCCAACACCACAGTTCAAAAAAGAACTAAAACCTCCAACAAATCGAAGAGTAGCATTCTTCATTCCAGATAAAAGGAACTCAACACTTTCAAGAGAGCAACTGAGGCCATATTAAAGGAATGCAGGCCTAGCATACACCCTAATTTTATCAGCAACTCCACCCTTAAACCACTGCTATAAAACTCCTCACTAAACCCTTGGGACAACCAATTTCAGGAGTAAAAGCCTGCTTTGTTCCCCTCTGCCTTGCAAAGCAATAAGCTATTCTTTTCTGCTTCACCCAAACTCTGTGTTGGAGATTCGATTTTGCACTGGTACAGGCAAGCAGGGGCTTTTTCAGGTGGTCCTACTGGAAAAGAGCCCTCCTGCCAATACATGAGACTCAGGTTCAATCCCTCAGTCTGGAATATCTCCTGGAGAAGGCAATGACAATGCACTCCAGTCATCTTACCTGGGAAACCCCATGGATAGAGAAGCCTGGTGGGCTATAGTCCATGGAATCATAAAAGAGTCGGACACAACTTAAGGACTGAGTGACAATAACACTTTGAGCTTTCGGCATCAGCATCAATCAATCAGAGCAACTGGTTGGTTTCATGAAAATTATCAGCCCTATTATATGAAAACCAATGAGTTATTAAAAGTAGACCTATATAAGATGATTATAGCATTATACCCAAATAAATCATCCAGCACCACAAAGTGAGCCCCGATAAAACTTACAAAAGAGCTTACAAGAGAAAAGGGTAGAAATGCACAGCAATTCATCTTTTTAAAAATCAGAGTGCATATACTTTCATATAAAGGTCATTTGAAAATCAAAATCATTCATACTACTGAAGACATTATGCTAAAAGTTAGAGAAAGAATACATATGGGTCTTTGATAGTACCCCTGGCAAGATACCTTGTGTTGAATGTAAAAAAAATAACAGCAGGCTACATATCAAGTCTCAGCTGTCATACCTTCTGAAATTTGCTGAACAGTTCAATCTATAATTTTTGCTAGGGGAAATCAAAGTTTTGATTGGCCTTATAAAGTACACTTATTCTTCAGAACTCTCTTAACTATTCTATGAAAAAAGTGAAAGTCGCTCAGTCGTGTCTGACTCTTTGGGACCCCATGGACTGGGGCCTGACAGGCTCCTCTGTCCATGGGGATTCTCCCAGAAAGAATACTAGAGTGGGTAAGCTGTTCCCTTCTCCAGGGGATCTTCCCAACCCAGGAATCAAACCTAGGCCTCTTGCATTACAGGCAGATTCTTTACTGTCTGAGCCACCAGGAAAGCCCAAGAGTACTAGAGTGGATAGACTATCCCTCCTCCAGCAGATCTTTCTGACCCAGGAATGGAACCAGGATCTCCCACATTGCAGACAGATTCTTTATCAGCTGAGCTACCAGCAAGTTATTCTATAGTTGGAGCATTTTACCTATGAGGTCTTGTCTTCAGAGTTTGAATTAAAAAAAAAACTAAGTTTCAATGATCAATTATCTGAGTTACTAGGTTCCTAATTTAAATTTAATGGCAACTATCGAAACTAATCTTGATTGATGTTTTCAACTAAATAGATCATAACAACAATAAAATAAAACAGTCTGGTTAATTTTTCAAATCATCATCACTACTTTCAAATGCAGTTTGGCATAGTGCTTAAACACATGGCCCTTGAGGGCAGGATTTGGTCTGCAGGTCAAACCTGGCCTTCAGCCTGCTCATGTAAATAGTCTTACTGGAACACAGTCATACTCACTCCTGCACTTTATTTTTTTAATTGTCTATGGCTGATAATCTACCAAACGGAGAGAAATGAGCAGTTGCCACAAAGATCACATTGCAGAAAAAACTGTAATATTTATTCTCTGGTCTTTTAAGCAAAAGTTTTTTGACCCTTGCTCAAGCCTTTAATTATAAGATTATGCCATTACAAGAGAAGACACTCTGAAGTTGGAGTCTTTTTTTTTATTTTAAATTTTAAAAGTAGCCAATAATGGATAAAAACATGATTGCTTAGTGTCTGTACTTACATCCATAAATTCCACATTGGCTTTGGGACCAGTTGTTTCATTAAGAATCTTAATAGCCACAGGAATCTTCACTGTTTCTCCTTCAGGGACCCAAATACCCTTTGTGGGGAAAAAATGTCACATTAAATCTATATTAACACAGATACAACATTTAGATCAGACACAAAATTTGATTTAACCAGTCATGTGCTTTCATTACCAGAAAATGAATCATATATGTATTCTGCTTTCAAGGTGCTTACACTATTATAAAATTCATTTGTATACATAAAAAAGGCTTTAAATAGTGAAAAAAAGAAATAAATAAAAATCATTTAAATATATATATAATAATATTTGACTTGGATGATATCATTAATTTCTTATGACTTTGAGAAGGCTGCTCTGATTTTTGAACTTCAATTTGTCTTATTTGTAGTTTAGAAGACTGGGCTATGTAATGTTAGTGGTTTTTCTCAGCTTTAATATTATCTAATTATTCTGCAACTAAAAATACAATAAGATAAAAAAGCACATTCTCATGCATCAAAATTCAGATTGATTTAAGAATTAATGTTCTAAGGTGACTTTTTAAGAATTAGTTTTAAAAGGCAAGTACTAAGGAGTATTGAACACATATTAATTTGTTTATATTATTTAAGACTATGTATGTACCAAGGATTTTTATTATTTCTAAAATAATATAAAATATTTACATTAGTCATTGCAAGTTTTCTCTTCCTATAGAAATGTAATTATAATATGAACAAGATCTATGTATTGTGGGAAACTATAAAATAGGTAGAGTTTGATTAAAGTATAATGTTATGTTAAATAATAGCATTTCTGGGCGAACAATTCAACCATTTAACTGAGGACAATGGTCCTGATAATATAGGAATGCATGAAATATACAAGAACATTTTTTAATTGTACCCTCCCAAAGGCACACAGAAGCAGATATGAGTCTACATGTAAAAAATATCTCAAATTTTAATTTATTAGCCTTGACATCAAAAAATACCTTCTAAGGACAATTTTAACATAAAAATAAAAGGAAGAGAACAGCTCCACTTCCTGATTTTCTTAATTTTCATTTGCTGGTAATTATAAAGATTTTTGGAAGTTTTTCACATGGTACTTTATGCTAAAATATGTTACCCAAAGTGGTAATAATATAGAGAAGATATAAACATAGGAATTATTAAAAAGTCAAAATAATAAAGAGAAAAAAGACTTAAACCTTTAGAAGTGAATTTAATAGTGAATAGGGAAATCCATCTGTCAAATGCAAAATAATAAGCCAAGCTTCCTATGGTACAAATTTTAAAAATATTTATTAATGGAGAAATGGAGGAGGAAAAGCCCAAGGCCTGTTTTCTTGTTGAAGGTACTAAAGTGGACAACAGGCTTACCATTACTCAATAAAGTAACCTGAGTACCTTATAAAGATACATAATCAATATGAAAATATTTCTAAAGTACACTTTCAAAATAAAAAAATAAATTCACTGTAAATTAATTTTCACTGTTTTCAAAATAAGTATAGTCATTATTTTCTACGCCCCATGGGATCAAAATTCAACTATGTTGATACCTATGATATTGGTTCAAATATTTTATGTTTAAGCACAGCATTACTCCAAGCAGGAGTAATTGGCTAGGCAAATTTGCATTTCTGTGGTCAAGAATAATTCTTTATAGTTTAAGATAGCATGTCTTCGTAAGAACTAATAATTTTAAATAAAACTTATGGTCAACCATATACACTGTAGGCATAAAATTTAAACATACTTATGGAACTTTCAAAATGTTTTTAATAGAAGTAATTTCAGTAAGTGTACACCGCTCTTGGACAATGGGCAAGTATTGCTAATAAAAAATTATTAATAAGGATTTATTATTAAATGTCAAAATGATTAATATTTTCCCCTGCCAAGGTGACTAGACAACATTTGGTCTTGAATTATACAATATTCATGATTTACAATAAAACTCAATTTCCAGATCATATCATCTTTAAAAACATAAGGGTGATTATATGCCAGGTACATTTCAAGATTGAGTTACTTTTAAAATGGAAGTCCATGTTTTTCTAACTTGATATAATTAGAGAAACAGATAAGATAGTATGTGTCTCTGAAAATACAAAGATTTTGAAGACCAGAAAATACCAAGTCAGCTAATAATTTTGAATTTAACTGAACAAAATATGCAGAACAAAAGATTTAGAAACATCTGCATTTGAGCATAGAATTAAAGTTTTATTTTAAAGAGATGAGATTATTTTTGGTAAACTCAGGAGAGAAAATTAAGGTTTATATTCAAATTATTAATAACTTCCATTAAATAATTCTGCTTTAAATATAAAAAACATTTTAAGATGCAAAATTCTTAAGATCTAATCTATTTTAGCTGATCTATTCATAAAAATGTATGCTTGCATATTGCTTTAAGAAATTTGTCAAAGCAAATTTTGGTAATTGAAGTAATGGACACTACAAAAAGGATTTAGTATTATCCCAACAGAGTTTCTTATTCTTGATATTTACAATTAAAAATAAATTTCACCACAATTAACCTTGGGCTTGGCCTTTGTATTGGTTTTGTAATTAAGTTAAATAAGTAAACATGCAAATGCCTTCATTTGAACTCTCCCTTTCCAGAAATATCTCTCTTATTTAAAACCCATGATGTTACCTTCTCCTTCTATCTAACCTGAACTTTACAAAGTCACTTTTTTAGTTTGCATATAATGGTGAAGACATTAAAACTGGAAATTATCTGTTACACCATAAATGTTATAGTAGGCAAAAAAGTGCTTTAGAAATTAGTTTTACTAACATATCAGTGTATTTCTGTGTGTTCTGAAGAGATGGGCTAGTAGGGTCCTGATGGGTAGGTCCTTGGATTGTTGATTTAAAAAAATGCACAATGTGAGAGGTGCAACTAAGTTTTATTTGGGGCAAAATGAGGATTGAGGCCCAGGATACAGCACCTCAAATAGCTCTAACAAACGGCTCCAAACAGGGGGAAAGGTCAGTATTTATGTGATTTTGGTGGAGAGAGAGTACATGAAATTGAGCACATATCTTTCCAGAAGATTTCTGCTAGTCTCATGAAGCCTTTTGCTAGTCATGAGTAACAGTCATCACTCTGAAGCATTTTAGTACTTTTCTACATATGAGGAGATATAAGAATTGTGTTCATAAAACTGGCTCCTGAAAATACCTACCCGAAGACCTGTTCTGCCAGTTTTTCCCTGAGCACAGAGTGCCTCATTTCTGTTCTCCACCCTAAACTCCTTTCAGGGGATGCTGAAAATCAGCAGCACATGATTTAATGCTTGTAGAGGTAAATATCAAGTATGCATGGTAAGTGCCAATTTGTAGTTGCCAGGATCAAAGAATAGAAGAAGAGAAGAGCAAAGAAAGACGGTATCTGTCTAGGATATCTCCCTGTGGCGGGGCAAAGGTAAATGGGTTGGATCTGGGTATTCTGAAATAAGGACAAATTTGCCAAAGGCAGATGATACCAAAAGGAGCTCAGAAGACACTGAGAGAAAGAATTACATTTTGGCTTTGCATCAGTGTTTCCTGCTTTTTCACGACTGTCTCAAACCCAGCTTGGTCAATAAAAATTAATGAATTCATTTGTGTAGCAACTTCTCAATATTATAAAGATTCTTCTTGCAGAATATTAAAAGGGAAATTAGGTTGGCTAGAACAATAACTCTGGCTACTATTTAAAACAAGTATGAAGCAAAACTGAAACTAACTGACGGTATGTGTTATTTTTTACTTACTTTATAAACGGTTCCAAAAGCACCTGAGCCAAGTACTTTGACTCTTTTGAGCTCAGTTTCCTTCAAAATACGAAGTTGAGCTTGATTGGGTGCTGTGCCACTGGGAGTTAAGGGTTCTACCAGCTACGAAAAAAAAAGAAAAACAAAAAACACAGGTTATACAACTTTCAATCCAATAATCAGTGTTCCTCTCTCTTTCTGTCTGATTTGCTTTCTCAAACTTATAAAAAACACACACAAACCTGTTTTACATCGACAAACAATACGTATATAAAATGTATCACTTGGCATTCCTCTAACCCTACTTTCTCTTTTCATGTTCTTCACCTGGGTGAACACAAGTAACAAGTATGTACCTTGAGGTCTACTAGTCTAAGGGATGTCTTTTTCCCCATTTTTTACAGAAATCTAGAGACCAATAAGGGGCTTTTAATTCTACTTCATTTCCTTCTTTTTGGACAACTTCAGCTAAGGTTCAGAGATTTTACTTATGCAACTATACTCTATCAAAGTTTTCTTTTTTTTTTCATTTCAGGACATTTAATACAAAAATTAAATATTTTTTAAAAAAATTTAAAAATCCACCTTTTTTTTTAGCATTTACTATTTTTACCAAGGAAGTCAGGGCAGATACATAAAAAAAGAAAAAACAAGCTAGCACAATGTCAATACACAAACACAGTGTTTCTAAATTTTTCATGTACATGTAAATTACTGGAGGGTTTTGTTAAAATGCAGATTTTGGTTCAGTAGGTGTGGATTGGGGTCTGAAATCTTCATTTTTATAGAACTCCAGATGATGCCTCTTTATGATGTTGGTCCTTGAACACATTTTAAGCAACAAGGCCCTAGAATACCTTCCAGGTTAAAAATTCTAAAATTCTATGAATTGATTCTAGATCATAAATGAATGCTATGGAATGAAGAGGAATAAAATAACAAAGGGGGAATGAGGTTTGCCTTTTTAGTTTCCTAAAAGGAGGTACACTTTAAAACTAGACTTGAGATAATAAACATGGATGGACACGGGGGAGGATCCTACCACCAAGAAGAACAGTTTAGACACAGCCTCAGGAAGAAGGAGGAAGGCATGGAAGAGACTCATACACAGAGGGGCAGGTCTGAAAGGTGAGATTAGGGTGGGCGATGCCAGATCCTGAAGTGGGCTGGTTATGGCCAAAAGGGGTAAAATTAGGCTGATAATTTCAGATGTCATAGTTCAGATGCCATTGCCAGAGAGAATGCATAAGCAGGAGAAATGTATGTAAATGTGTGCCAATTTCTTATGTGAAGAACAACAATAACAAAAATGTAGACAAAAGGAAGACTCCAGATACCAAATAGTCTATACTGAATGTTAAAATTTTAGAAATTTATCTATGCTTGAGGGAAAAAGCAAGTGAGACAATTAAGAGCTTCTTCTTTTTTCTTTTTTGTAAAGTTAATAAAGGAACTAAACTTTAAATACAGACAAATATCTTGTTCTTTCTCAGCATAAGGAAATAATTAAGGGCTACTCCTACTCACATTGTCTTCAAAACCACCACACTATTTCAAAATGTCTGTTTACCAGGCTAACTGCAGTGTGGTCCTCCAACTTGGTTATTATTATAATGCTCCTGTGAACATCACGGTCTACTTAATTAGCTGAACAGGATCATGAATATAAGTAACGGTTAGGAATAGTTAGCAAGAATTTGGGAAAAATGACAAAAAATATCAATAAAATCAGGCTTTTTTTTTAACAGTTTGACAATATACTTCTATTTCATTTTCAAATTTAACTTGTAATAATGCATATAACTGCATTCAAGTCACATAAATCTCAGAAAGAAAAACAGAAGTCTTTATTAAACCTGAAAACAAAATCTCCTGCAGAGGATCCTCTTCATTTGAATCCTGCTATGCAGAATTTGTTTTGTAGATTTTTATATATATACTATGTGTACAATAAGAAATTTTATAATTATTTTTTAAATCACACACAAAGACATACAAAAATCATACGTAAATTTTGGAACTGGATTTTTTTGCACTTTGGGTTAGATACACTTAACGTATATATATGTGTGTGTGTGTGTGTGTGTGTGAACTCTATATATAGACATGGGCCCGCCCAGGTTGCCGTAATCGTAAAGAACCTGTATGCCATTACCGAAGACATAAGAGATGTGGGTTTGATTCCTTGGGTTGGGAAGATCCCCTGGAGGAAGGCATGGCAACCCATTCCAGTGTTCTTGCCTAGAGAATCCCATGGACAGAGAAGCCCGGCAAACTACAATCTATGGGTCGCAGAGTCTGACACAATTGAAGCGTCTTATCACACAGCATATATAGACCTATACTATGCAATAATTTCATATTTTGAAATTTTCACAATTCTACCTGAGACATTTAGTCCTCTGCTATTTTCTTAAGTATCATTCAATTTTTTTTACAAACACATTTTTCTCCAGGAATTTGAGCATTATATCATTAAAAGAAGCATAGTTTTATTTTGTGATGCAGTATGATAGAAAGAGTTTAAATCTGTGGGTTTTTATACCATTGCTGCCACTCATAAGCTTAGAATGCAATTTACCCTTCCTGGCCCTTCATTTCACATCTTTAAAGTTGGTGTAGCAATAATTACCTTGGAAGATTGTTAAAGGATAAAATGGTATATAGCATAGATGAAAAATTTTGGAACGTTATCTGCCATAATATAGGCAACAAATCTGTCACTTCAAGGGATAGAATTGTCTATCATTAATATATTTTTAAATTACAGCATCTATAAAAGCATTAAGCTTATCTGCATCTCAATAAATGTATGTTAAAAAAAGATTTCTTACTTTTATGTATGCAACACAAAAATAGACACTGTGGAGGAAAATGATTTGGGGAAAGTGTATCAATTTTAAAAACCTTCCAACTGTACATTAGGTTTTAACTACTTTCATCTCTGAGGCAAGATTTCTTGCTTCAGTAATTGAGAATTTAAGTTGATCCTCTTAAGAATTCCTCTTCTGTTTAGATGGTAGAAAATCATAGTTATTTACTTTTACTGAGAGAAATATGGGAATTCAACAATAATCTAATTTAGCCCTAAGTGATAACTTTCTATTAAAAAAATAGAATATACTTACAGAACCAATTAGTGTGCATTTATTTAGTAATGAAATGCCATTTTGATAGGCATTCTTAGAAAGCACTGTATTAACAAAACAAGACAAACAACTCTTTTCATAGCAATGAGCCTTTCCTACACAAGGTTAAGAGACAGAATTTGTCTTCTATTTATTTAAACACCTAAATATCCACTGCTATACCAAACTTTCCATTCTTCTTCAACTCTAGTTTATTTATTTCACTTTTCAAGATTCTCTCAGTGACTGCTCCAAACTGGCCATATGAGAGAATTCTGCCTGCCAAACTTTTATTCATGTTCACATGTACAAAGCTGAAAGTGATCAAGTTGGGTCTTCTGCATCATCCAGCTTAAGTAGAAATTGTTACTATGTCCACTTTGTGTCTGTAACTGACTACTTAATGCTTGAATGAGTCTATTGATAAAACAGCCTATTCTAATCTCAGATAACTTCCATCACTAGAAAGTATTTCCTTACATGTAGCTGTATAGTAGCTTTCTGAAACTGTCACATATTTCTCTATCTAGATTCCATTTCTAGGGGAAAAGAGCTAAAATTTAATTCATTGTCAGTCTGAGAAACTTATGAATGAATGAATATTGCTATTCCTGTCAGTGTTAAGAGGAAGTCAGACTGTCACACTGACAGAAAGCGATCGCAGAGAAGGCTGTCTCAGTACAGATTTGCTCTTAATTGTTCAGACAGGCATGGGTGTGTATATCGGGAGACAAAGGTAGGATTTGAGTTGAGAAAGCTATGGTAACACACATTCTTCTGCAATTGCTTTCCCTCTGATAGCCTGTATGCTGAAAATGATCATTTTGTATGCTGAAAATGATCATTTTGCATGCCAGAAAACTCAGCGTGGCAATGTAAAAGGAATTATAATATTTTATGGGTAATTTACATATTCACAATAACTAACATGCACAATATTAAATGCATAGTGTGGGAAGGTCTAAGCTTTATCCTGAAGCTCATCTTTTCACTGCTGCTATAATGAGATAGGTGGCTACCCAGTGAATGACCCTTAATTAAAGCATAAACTGCTTGCCGATCTAGCTTTATTTTAGCCAAAATAATCCTATCTCTTGCTAACATTTTTCTAGTTCTGTTACGAAGATATCTTCTTACTCAGATATTTTCTGGATCTCCTACTTTGATATCCTAGAGTTTATTAATGGAACCCTGGCCCCCAAAGAAACAGCTCTATCTTTTCCCAATATGATAATTTTCTTGACTCTTGATATTTGCCCTGTTCAAGTCATGAGCCTGCCTTGACTACATTTATTATACACTTGGATTTTTCATCAACTCTGTATAATAGAAAGTAGAAAATATTAGTCGCTCAGTTGTGTCTGACTCTTTGCAACCGCATCATCTGTCCATGGAATTCTCCAGGCAAGAATACTGGACTGAGTTGCCACTCCCTTCTCCAGTAGATCTTCCAGACCTAGGGACTGAACCCAGGTCTCCTGCATTGTAGGCAGATTCTTTACACTCTGAGCTACCAAAGCACACTATAAAAATATAAATCCTCAACAGAAACCCAAATAGAATTTTCACTTGGATTAAAAACTGAGTATCATAAAAACCTTCTAACTTGAATGAAAGTCCCTAAACACAAGAACAGAAGAAATGAACATCTCACCTCTGTTTCCAGGAATCTTCTTAAGGCTCTTTTCTTTTTGATGCTCTTCCTTCGAGCATAAACTGCAAATGTTAGGCCCACAATGACCAGGATGAAGAGCCCACCAATGACTCCAGCTGCAATTAGAGGAGTCCTGCCAACCAGAATGGAAAAGAGAGTAATAAAAGTAAGAGAGAAAAGACAGAAAAAGAGGAAAGGATTGTTGTTTATCCACATATCACAAGTCTAATCAGTTAGAAGAAACACAAACAAAAACACATTACCTTTTCTCATGGTAAAAACTGCACTTTTTTTTTTTTTTTTGCTTTGTTTTTTAATAGTAAACCATGCACAGACAGCTAATCTTTGGGGATGAGCAGCCACAACATGCCATTTGATGAAACATGTAAAATTTGATAACAAAATGAAGAACATATGCCAAATTTTTGATACAGAATCACTTTAAATTTTTTTAATTTTACTTTTATCTATGAAGAAGAAAAATGCATTTAGATAGTACTGTTGTGATGTATGCTATTATTTTCAACATTTTCTCTAAAGCAGGCTTTCTCAACAGTGGCACTATTGACATTCGGGGTTGGATACTTGTTCATTCTGGGGACTGTCTTACGCATCTTAGGATGTTTAGCATCATCCTCACCCTCCATCCACTAGAAGCCAGCAACACTCACCCTCTCCCCAGTCATGACGTTGTCTCCAGACATTGCCAAATGTGTGCCAAAATCACTGCCAATTGAGAACCACTGTTCTAAACCAAGAATGAGTGGTTTGAGGACATATGAACCCCATGCCTCTGGCACATAAAGATACCAACAGAGAAATGCATTGACAAAGTGCTTTTTCAAACTCTGTCAAGGGCAATTCTGTTGGGAAAAGGGGCAGGAGAAAGATGAAGAATTGGGTCAGACAGGTTTCCAGAGTTATGATGACTGGAGTAAGCATTATTATCAAAAGCACGGCTCAGCATCACATACCCATGAAAGAAGTCTATACATTAAGTATTAAGTAAAAATACATAAATAGTATTAAAATAGGAAGACACTGACCAGAGATTTTTATTCTTAAAATATTTCTCTAATATATTGCTTACTAAGGCATGCTTTTGAAACTGATGACTTTTTGTTTTCTAAGATTAAATTTTTTGCTTACTTGATGTTTATGATCTTCTTGTCGTACCATAGATTAGTATCTATGAGCTTCCTGTGGTCAGTCTTGAAATACATTAATTTCATATGCCATATGAAACAGTTTAGAGTAAAACACATCTTGACTACGAAGTCATGATAGATATCAAAACTAAAGAAGACTTCCCTGAATGCTCATGTTTTCTATGGTAAAGTGTTTTATGTTTTATATTACTATTTGCAGAAGAACCTACTTTATACAGCTACACTTTTAGGAAAAAAAAATTACTTGTTCCTGTAAGATAAAGTTTTACTCAAAGATCTGAAATAATGAAAGCGAATGATCCAAAGTAAAATATTTAAATTTTAAAGAGCTGTTGGGAAAAAAAAAATCTGTCTAACTTCTTCTATAAATGAAGTCGTGTCTTTTAAACATTGTAACTGTTATATTATTGTCATATAAAACAGCAAAAAAACCTTAAAAAGTGGTTCATCCTAAAGGTTGTTGCCTGGCAGTTGAAAGTCCTTCAGCACATTGAAATGTTGCTATAATTCAACCAGATTTTCCTAAATGGAATTTTCTAAAAACATAAAAATCTATGCTGAGAAAATTACACTACAGCATGGAAACAAACTCATCATTGTAATGCCTTTTGGTATGTGTAAGATCACATTTTTGGTATTCCCGTTAAATATGCATTTCAGAAAACATTTTAAGTCTTCAACTCAAGGCATATTTTTCAGCTCAAGTGCCTAATACATCTCTGAAAAATCACTACTATAAAAAGAGTTACATTTTTGTTTGCTTAGCCCAGTGTTTTATTGTAAAGGATTTATGCATGATTAAGAATAGTCCCCAGCATTTTGTTAGCTGTAGATTTGAGATAAACTCTAATCTTCCTCTACTTATCCATTTTGCAAAAGAATAAATGGCATGTATTTATGAAAGCATTTGCCTATGTCACTATAAATTAAAATAAAATTCTCTATTTTTTTGTTTGTCTTTCATTTTAAGAGTGATCATTTCCAACAGAACAAGATTCCTGACTCTATTTTTTTCATCTAATTCAAATGGATATCAGTTATCATATCATTTCTACTTAGTCCTGGCAATGAAAATAAAACATTCAAAAATTCAATAAACAGTAATTTCTATGATTTTCTAGTTAGCTTTTACTTTTGTTATTTTCCTTCAGCAGTTCCTTGGTTGATTTGCACTCCTCTAGTTGTTTTCTTCTTTTACCACTTTGCAGGAATGGGAGTGTTACAAGCAACCCAAAGAGGCAAAGAACTAGAGTTTCTGCACCTAAAATTCATAAATAAATTCTTGTTGGATGTTTAAAGAGGCCTAATTCTTCTTAGTTCAGCAGAAGTTACACTTAAAAAAGAAAAAAAAAATTAACCACAAGGAAGCAATCAAGTTGAAAAGCAACAATGTTCTATAAGAAAACTTATTTGTATTTTTAATAAGTGAATATCATGATAAAAGGTACTGATAAGAAGATTTAATATTCATAAAAAAATTGACATGAAATGTAACCATGGCCTGGACTCTAGTTTTGACAAGCCAGTTATGCAGAAATTGTTTTGATAACTTGAGAAATTAGAATATGGATTTGATAGTAGATGAAATAGAATATACTGGTGTGTAAAGATGTAGACCAGAAATCAAAGACTGAGTTAAAACACAGTAGGCACTAAATCAGGAAAAAAATTCTTACACACATATACATATATGTGTGCAAAAAAAAGATCTGGAAAAATGTACAATAAGACACCAAATGGTAGTTGTTTCTGAATTATATGACTCTAGCATTCTTATTTTTTTTATTTTTACTATTGAACATTTTTCTAATATTCTCCAATATGTCTTCCCCTTGAAATATAGGTTAATGAAACTTAAGAAAAATACAGAAAAAATAAATCTTTATCTAAAAGCTTAGTTTCACAATAATAGCCTTGTTTTCTTTCTTTTTTCGTTTTGAATGTTTACTTTGCATTTTTTCAATTAAGATTTCATTTTGCTATTCCCTGTCCACTTTTATGATCTAAGTACTTCCGAAGGTATTTTCTATTTATAGCTTAATGTGTCTGAGACATTTAATTGCCACTATGTTTCTTACAATTAACATTATATTTTATAAGATCAATCTAATTTGAAAAGTTATACCACTTCACATTTTGTACTCCCCTGCAATTTTGATGATTCCTAGACATTTGTAGGTGTAGGATAGATGTCTTTTTTTTCCCCCACTGAGAGTTAATGCTTCACTCTTTATAAGAATTCTTTGGATAAAAGGGATATAGTTATTTAAGTTGCAGTTTTAAATTGTTGTGTATCTCTCCTAGGTCTAGTGCTGACTATTGCAAACTCAGCTATATTCCTAAAGGAGACTGTGTTCCTCTTACATATGGGTCAGATAGCCTCTTAGAGGCTAAGGTGTGACATTAATGAAATCATAAGGGTCAAAACCAAGAGACCTAGAATACTCTGTAATCCCTTATCTGTAATAGGAGTATTGCTTGTTCTCTGTCTTTTGCCTGTCCATTAAAAACCTTTGGGATATGCTTAAGTAGACAAGATAGGGCGTGTCAAGTGACAAGTGCCAGCTTTTTCTAAAGGAATGCTATCAGGTGATATTTTATCTTATTCTGTGATTTCTAAAGTAGTATAATGAAACTGGTATCTCCCATCTACTCATAGAAATTAATATAATAAGTATTCTGAATCACAAATGAATGTGACTAATTTATTTAAAAGCATATAACTTGGATTTCACAATTTCTTTTAGAAGTTCAGAGACAACACTATATATTACTCTATAATCTTGAATGCAATTATCTATTTAAAAATTATATACTGAAGAGTAGTGTCTCCTCAGACCACGCTATTCATATAGTAAGATGCATTCTTATTATTCATTAGTATATTTGAACTATGCTATTCCTCACTGGAGAATATAAAATGTGAGTGAATCATGGAACTTGATTTTATAAACATCCAAATACTTTCTTTCAAGGATCTATTTCCTTTCAGATAACAGATCTGAAACAAAATAAAGTCAATATAATTTATGATTAAAATTCAAACAGTTTTAAAACTATTTGATTACACCAATTTTGTTTCATTTAATGTCAAGGGCAGACTATTCTACAAAATATGTGCAGTGGTATTTTCTTTAAAATTGTAAACTTAGTAAGACTGGTACTTTAATATACTCACTGTGCTATGCTGTGCTGAGCAGCACTTCAGTAATGTTCCTATGGACGGTAGCCCGCTAGGCTCCTCTGTCCATGGGATTCTCCAGGCATGAATACTGGAGTGGTTGTCATTTCCTACTCCAGAGGATCTTCCCAACCCAGGGATCAAATCTGTGTCTCTTAAGTCTCCTGCCTTGGCAGGCAGCTTCTTTCCCACTAGTGAAAAGAATACTAAATCTATAAGATTCTTTTGTGTTAATTTCAGCAAATAAAAGGATTTTAAATTTATAATACAGACATACTTTTCTTTATTTCTTAAGTATAGAATAACTTTCAATTACAGCTAACGGAATCAATCAAAAGTTCTATTAATATAACACACTGACAATATAGTTTACAACTCACGGTATTCACTTTATATCAGAGAACTCCACTTTTAGAAGCTCTAAATTAAACAATTTGAAGTCAGATCCTCAGAATCCTTTGGATCTGACTTAGGGCCATAGGGCTTCCCTGGTGCTCCGGTGGCTAAGACTCCACACTCCCAACACAGGGGGCCTGGGTAATTCCAGGTCAGGAAACTAGATTCCACATGCTGCAGCTAAGAGTTTGCATGCCAAAATTAAAGATCCCCAAATACCACAACTAAGCCCCAGCGCAGCCAAATAAATAAACATCTTTCTTTCTTTCTTTCTTTTTTTAAAGCTTAGGGCTTCTTTATTTTCTGTCCATGGATACTAAAGGTGTTAAACTGATTTTTTTTTAAATTTACACAGAATTATAAACAAACAAGTCTAACAGGCTAATT